TTTTACTCACGAAACCAGATACAGGCATACAGCCACAAGATATAGAAACTATAGATCAAGAAAAATGATTTTAAGGAAAATAAATACTTATATTATCATGCGCAAAAATTAATTTATTTACCACAATAACAGCATCAAAATTTGAATTTATAAATTATTAAAATCCGTGCATCTATCACTATTAATCCATTCCGTATGATTAATGTATGGACAAACTATTTTTTCGAAAAGAAATAAATAACATCGAATTACATTTAAAATTAAAAGTGTGAAAGTGAGTCTAATTTGATAGATTAATTTAGTTTATCACAGATTCAGATCAGACTATGTTAGGGAAAAATGTATATTAATTTTGGTTAAATTTCAATTCGACTTACTTAACTTAGAAATTAAATGAGTTTGAGTCAAAATGAGTTAAGTTGATTTGTTTAATCTAATACAATTAAAATAATAAAAATTTTATGTTTATGTTTTATGTAATTATTATTTAAAATTTTAGTTGATATTTTATTTTGTAATTACTTTTGAATCAATGATAGATCTAATTTTTTAATAGAAAAAATTATAAATATTTAATTATTTATTAAAAAAATAGTGTTTGTTCAACAGAAACATGTCCCATGAACACAACCTAGTCCTTAGTTGTTAGTTTTATGACATTATGTAGACCATGTTTATAAATAAATTTCTTTTATTAAAAGCAAAAATGCGTAATTAATTTTTTATTTAAAAAAAATTGATGAGCCAATTCACCTAACTGATGATCCATCAACCTGTGATAAGTTAAGTCAAATTGATTTTTTTTGGCTTATCATGGATTGAGTTGAATTAATTTATTTAAAGTACCAATCATATTAAGCCAACTTATATAAACTGGATTAACTAATTGTCAACCTTCACTTAATCAAAATAACTTAATTGTTATGAATAATAATTAGTGGCTCAATTAGTGGATGTCAATATTTACTATCAATCATTACCATTTATATTTTTGTTATATATTATTCCTTTTTTATGTAATTGTTCAGTTACTACATGTATTTATAAATAGGTTAGTCCTCTTCCAAAAATAATATATCAATCAAATTCTTTGTTTTATTTCATATTGTCTAGTTTGTTATCTCTACATTTTCTTTCTTTTATAACATAATTTATAGATAACATTTAAGGAAATGAATAATTATAAAATGAGCACGAGAGATGAATAGATATGAAACTCGTTTAAATGAAAAAATGTTTTTTTTATTTATTATTAAGATAATCAATTTTTTCAATTTTTTATATATTTGTTTAAAGTACTTGTTTTAAGAATAAATTTTTATTTTATTTTTTAAGAAACAACTCATATATTTTATATAGATCTTTTATTTATAATTATAATTTAATTTGGTCTCATTATTTTTAAATAGTTTAATGATTTTTTAATTTTCTTAAAAATATTATATGTTATCCTTCTATCCAAATTGACACTAATAATATTATTAATAAATAAAAAGATAATATTATATATCTTTTAAAAATTCGAAGATCAAATTAAACCATTTAAAAATAATACGATCAAATTTATCATTCCACAAATAGATGAGTTAAATTAAATAATAATTTCTCTAATATTTTTTGTTTAGATAAATTAAAATTTTTATTTATCTATTTGATATTTTCTTTTATTAGATAAATCTTTCTTCATTTTATGATATATATATATATATATTAATTTTAAATACTCAATTTGTTATTTTTATCATCTTATTAAGGTAATTAAATTTGTTTTCATGAATGTTATTCAATTTTTATTATATTTTTTAAAAATTGAATTGAATCTTCCGATTTAATTGATATGATCGAGAACTAATGTAATAATTTGTCTATTCACTTAATTTTTTTTAGCTCATTTTAAGTTTATAACGGGTAATAATTTGTCAACCAATCCAAAATCGATAAAAATAGAAAATTTATTTTTTATTTAGTTATTATTTTAATTTAATCTAAGATAATTTTAAGATAAATAAAAAAACTCATTTTAATATTGTATATAGATATAAATTATTTTGCTAATTATTATTCAATTATCTCTTATTATTTTTAAATGATTTAATGTGTTCTTACTATTGTTAAATGGTTCAATTCAATATTATTATTTTTAAAAGTTTCAATTTGTTCCTCTAATTTAATTTTTTTTTAATATTTTTCTTTTGCCCAATTTTATTATGTCAATTTTGATAAAAGATATTGAATAACTTTAAAAATTAAAAATTAAATTAAATTATTTAAAAATAGCGTGACTAATTAGAATATTAAAAACTAAATAGCAAGAGAAAATTATAATTTAACTCTTTTAAAAAGAAACTTTTGGAAAACATTTTATAGTATTTTGTTTTTAAAATTTAAACAACCTGCCCATATTACAATGCATGGTGCTGGCACATTAGAAACAGTAATGGTCAAAGGAATTGATGGACGGTGTTTGAATCCAAGCCTTGACTCTTAAACTTACGAAAATACTATAAAGATAAAAACAAACATCAAATTTAATGAACCACTTGCAGGAAAAGTATCACATTAGGTCAGCACTAATTAATACCTTATTTTATTTAATATATAAATACTTAAAAAAAAAACTGTGATTCTTTTATAGGATTCTTGTACGTACCTAAATCCAAAATTCATTATGAACCTTTCAGGTAAACTTAGCAGAAGGGGAGGTCCAAGTTGGCATCATGGAATTTATGACCCAACAACAATTACAATTAGTCAACCTTTGAATGATGCAACAGGTAAGATATTTCAAGCATAGCAATAATAAACATGAACGATGTCTGCTTATGTACAACAAGCGTCAGAAATAAAATAAATAAAAAAATTAGAGAAGCTAATGGTTGAGATTGTTTTTCTTTTATTTAAGATTAACCTAAAGTTTGTAACAAAGAACAATTAATTAGATTTTTTTTATAAAATTTATGTGATCCATCAAATAGAATTAGATACAACAATCTAACTGGCTTCCGTACCTGTTCCGCTTAATAATATAATTAAAAAATTATTTATATATATATAAATTAAAATTAAAAATATTTATATGTAAAAATTTGTATTATTTTATTTTATTTTTATTTTTTTTAAATTTATTCATATTTATTTAAAAGAAAAAAAGATAGAAGCAATGACAGGAGCGAGGCGGGGAAATTCAAACCCTGCCAGAAACAAGGATGAGTATCCAAATTTTACTCTTAATAAATATCGAGAATGGAAGCAAATGCGATTTAAATCTGCGGGGCGGGTGCAGAGAACATAAAACCCCCTAGTCCCGCTCCGTTGCCATGCCTAGAGTAATGTTTTGGCAAAGACTCGGTCACACTCTCACCTAAGCTTCCCTTGTCCTCCGGCTACGCGCGCGTAGGATACCAAACCTTTTTTTTTTGGTGCTTAATGAATGAATCACCGACCAACACAACCAATTTTAGTTTCACCAAAATTTTTAAAATAATTAAAATAATTTAATTTTCTTATAATCATGTTTTTGGTTCAAAATATTTACCTTAGTAATTATTTTTAAAAAATTTGGTTAGGAGTAATATTTTTCTTTCAACAACTCTAGTTAAAGAAATCTAAATCTAATTCTATTCAAATCAACGATTTGATAATAAGTACAAAATTAATTTACGTACATTTATTGATGTAAACAATTTTACATTATTAATATACCAAAATTATTTAAGTATGAATTTCAAAGTAAGTTTTTTTTGAAGGGAATTTCAAAGTGGTTTAAATTGGTCATATATTTTGTTCAATGAAGATCATATTGAACAGATATAAATTCTTATACATTTACTCTGATCCTTTATTACTGTAATGACTTTAATGTTTATTTAAACTGGTTATATATGATAAATTGTAGTCAAATGATAGTGTAATTTTTTAGTAGTTTTTTTTCTTTCTATACCACTTATATCCTCTACTTAAATGCATTTCAATTAAGAGTTTAATTAATATGTATTATCTTCACTACTTTTTTTATTTTATTTTTTATTTTTTTTACATTACCATTGATTAAAAATCTTAAGAAGTAAGATTTTTAAAATAATTAGTATTTTTCATATACAATACATAAATTAAATATTTATCATATATATTGATAGAGTCGAAGTATTTGATCTCTTTATATATTTTGAACAATAAAAAATATTATTTTTTTGTATAGAAAAGTATTAGCTGGTACATATTCATTGTGAAAAATAAAAAAAGTGAAAATTAATTAAAAGAAATACTTATGTTGTTGGTAAAATTCTGGTACTCAAAAGATCAGATATTCAATAAAATAAAAAGGGACAAAAGGTTCTATATAAAAATGAAAATTAATATAGGTAAAAAAATATTCTCTTTATATAATAATAATATAGATCTAAAATTTATAATAAATTATATAAAAAATTATTTTTGAATATATATACTTACATTTAAAATTTATATAAATAATTATTTTTAAACATATAAATTATATTTTAGATTTATGATAAATATTACATATTATAACACAAAATTATTTTCATTTATTAATAGTTTACTTTTAAAATGTTAAAAATTAATTAATAAATAATTATAATAAATAAAAATTATATAAAATAAAAAATTAAAATAAATTCCTAAAAATCTTTTGTGTTTACGTAATATTTAATTATTTTTTCCAAACTAATAAATTTACGGTATATAACAATTTGCCATGAATGTCAAAATAATTTTTTTTTTATACTATTTGTGTATAGATTAAACTCCAATTGTGTGGTTCAGTAGTAGGAATTGATCCGCGCTTACGTTCGAATCCAGTATAGATTATTTATTTGTTAATTAAATTAAAAATCATTATTTTTAAGGAAACAATTCCACAACTTATGTGTTTGATTGATTTTCTTATTAAGTTAAGAAATCCCAAAAATATTTTTTTAGAGATGTAATTGATTAATTAGTTAAATGCGTTGAACAAGATTGTTGTTGGAACAAACAAACCATGAAGATAACTTGAACCAAAAATTAAACAGAATCCACTCTGTTTTCTCACCGTTTTGTAACTTTGTCTCCTATCATCTCTTCAACTTTCTCTCTCTTCTCTGTGCCATTCCATTTCTTCCCTCTTTCCTTCTTCCTTTGGTACTTTCTTTCTCCGCCTAATTGCATACTTTTCCATGTTCAATAATTCTCACCAAAATCCCTACCTTGTTCCGTGTTTGATTTGATTAATAATATCAAGATCCAAGCACAAAGTTTGTGTCTTAATTTTTTTTTATTTTTTCCTTTTGGGTGAAACAAAGTTTGAGTCTTTTTGGGAAATTTATCTGCTTTGTGATATTAACTTCACTTTCTTCCTTGTGGGGTTTCTGTGCAGATTAATCTTGAGGAGTGTGTGATTATTCCGAAATGACCCCACCCCACTTAGTGTTATGATAACTTGGAACCTTTTGCACGCAAGAATAAGCTGTACACACGCAATAGCTCTATTATTTCTTCATTTTTTGTTATTGGTCAAACAAGCTGTACCTGGGAACCCTGAATATTCAAGCTGTGATATGGGGTACCTCAATTCAGTTTTGTCCTCTTCAAGCCAGGTTCATGCTGCAGAAGATTCACCTGTCAGCGGAGGGGGCCTCAGGTTTGTATTCTATCTATCTTTCTCTAGATCTAGAATTGGTTGAACATGCTTAAGAATTGGCGTGTTTATTTAATGGTTACAGTTATTGTTGTTGGTTAATGGTATTCTAATATTCTCACTAGGTAGTTTTATGTTGAATTCTTTTGTCTGTTATGTTATGTCCGTTATGTTGTATTACTCATGCGTTTCTTTGCAGATTTACTGTCTCAATTGTGTTCTTGTTAGTGTTTGAGTTTTATGATCATGGGTCACGAGGCAAATTTTTTGGGGTTTTTCTTTGCATAATGAAATTATTTGAAGAGAGGCCTTGCCTAATGTAGAGTAGACCTGGTCAATCTTTGTTTTGTTGAATATAATAGTCAAGTTCTGGTTTTTAGCTTTCTTGTTGGTTTATGTATTTGCTTCTCTGTATCTTACAGGCTATAAATTATACTGGATAATGTTGTATCTGTATTGTACTCCTACAGGAATGAATACCCTTAGCAGAATTTTTTTTACTATGACAATAATTGAACATGGATGGTGATTTATGTGCATAATTCGATGGTCTTAGACGATGCTAACTAGTCTTTCTTTATGCTTTCTGTCTTTTGGTTGATTGAATGATATTATTTTGGCGTAATTTGTTGTGACTTGTAACTGCAGTCAGAATGGAAAATTCAGCTATGGCTATGCTAGCTCCCCTGGCAAGAGATCATCAATGGAAGATTTTTATGAGACGAAAATTGATGGTGTTGATGGTGAAATTGTTGGCCTATTTGGAGTATTTGATGGTATTCTTATATAATTTTCTTATCTCCTTGTCCTTGTAACTTTGCTACGTATGTTAAGAAGGTGCTAAGATGAGGGACTGATTATAGTTGTACATTAATTGGAAAACAATGAACTATTGCATTTTGACCTAATAAAAATTGATTATTTATATTCCTATTTGTTGTTTCTTTATGGATTTGTTTCTATACATGAATTTTCCCTCTCTATGTTATTGTAAAATTAATTATTCCAGGCAACTTTATAGTGGCATATGTGGATGCTTCTATACTTATCGTGGAAATTTAGGGGTGTTTATGGGTTAGATTGTTTTGAAATTAGGTAAAATTAAATCTGAATTAATTATATTTGATTGATTGGTTTGAGTTTTTGAAAATCTTTTTCGGCCAATCCAACTAAAATTGGATTGGTTTGGTTTAGGTACTAGGTTATGATAAAAAAATGTTATTATATTTTTTCAAGCTTATATTTTCATTTATTGTCTGTTTTATATAAATATTTAGTTTTATTTTAATGCAAGGTAAAAATATTACTTGTTGTCTAATAACTAATTATTTATTTTATTTTAAAAAATTAATTTTTCTATAGTTATGATTTTACATATATCATTAATTTCTTTACCTAAAATATAATAAAAAAATTACACAATAAATGTGACCAAATTAAGACATTTGATAACATTAGATTTTTTGATACATTTATTTGATAACATTAGATAAGATCATAAGAAAATTAAAATAAATGAAAATAAAGAAAATACAAATTTTGAAGCAACATTTAATTGGTTTTGTTTGAAAGAGTAAAGAACCAATAACCTAACCAATTCGAACCAATTTAATTGGTTTGGTTTGGATTGTCATGTTCATTGGGTAAAATAGTAAATCCAATCCAGTGAACACCCCTACCTGGAATGTTTGATTGTTCAGATTGGCTATAGTACTATTTTCTGCACACCATGAAAGACTTCACTCTGTAGGTTTCTCATCTAAGTAACCTGTCTTTGAGCGTAATTTCCAGAGGCTTTAACCATTGTCTTGTATTTTCTAGTATTCTTTATTGTGATGAAGTACCTTCATGAATTCCTCATAGGAGCATTTATTGAGTGCTGAGTTTTTCTTTATATAGCATTTCATTTTTATCATTTAATTAAGCATGTAGGAGTTATACACTATTGGCTTCATGTAACCTATACTCAATACTGTTTTATCAGCTAAAAATGTAGAAGGTAGCTGTAACTTTCTTGGTTGAAACTTTCAGGCCATGGTGGTGCTCGTGCTGCTGAGTATGTCAAGCAAAACTTATTTAGCAATTTGATCAGCCATCCAAAATTCATTTCTGACACCAAATCTGCAATAGGTTTGTAATTTCACACCCGTGACATAGCATCCCGATTTTCTCCAATTTGATAAATCTTGAGAATAATTTTTATTTTCCTTCTGCCAAACTGTTTTTCTCCACAGCTGATGCCTATAGCCATACCGACTCTGAATTTCTGAAATCTGAAAATACTCAAAACAGAGATGCTGGATCAACTGCTTCCACCGCCATTCTTGTTGGTGACCGTTTGCTTGTTGCAAATGTTGGGGATTCCAGAGCTGTTATATGCAGGGGTGGAAATGGTAAGGCTTGTAGCTTTATGGTCATGTATTTGTAAATACACTTTTAGTTGCATACATTGTATTGTGAATATGTTTTCACATGAATTTTGGTTTTATGATACCTCAGGATATCATAATAATTGTTGTTATTGTCAAATGGTTCTGAAAGTTAGTATTGTGCCAACCATATGCATTTATGCTAGGTTTCTCCTGCTAATATCCATATTCGAGTCATCTCTATTGAGGCAGAAATATATTGAAGTACTTAATTTGTATTGTCTCAGCAGATTTACAATCATTAATTAATCATTTTTACTATTGTCTGTCCATTTCACTTGTATTTACATGTTTAAGGACTTTTATGCACTGGTATGCTATTAAGGAAACATTAAATGTGTGAAACTCTACAGACTGAGTGCTAAGTGCTACATATTTATTTTAGTCTTATCTTCATATATAGTTTAATTTCGAGTGTTTAATGATGGACTTATCATAGTTCGTATGTTGATGTTTGCGTATATGATATGATTTTTTTTATTTATTATTTATTATTATTCCCAATACCATAATTGGCAATTCTTTCTTTCTTGTAAATGTATCTTGAAAGATTATCTAGGCATCATTCATTGATAAGATATTAAGGGCATTCATTTGGTTTTATATCTGCATTGTTAATGATAAGTAAGGATGTGGATGTGAATGGTGTCTGTATTTGTATGTTGCAAGTTCTTGCACTTATTGCTGATAATTTTTTATTTTTAGTTTTAAACTTCGAAAATTGAATGGTGACTTAAACATTTTACTTTCCTATTTTTGTTTCCTCTAGCCATTGCTGTTTCTCGAGATCACAAGCCAGACCAAACTGATGAGAGGCAAAGGATTGAAGATGCAGGTGGATTTGTTATGTGGGCTGGTGAGGTCATCTTGCAGTTAGCTTTCATTATTTGATTTTTAGATTCATCTTGTTTGTCTCTGGAAAATTTAGGCATTGTGTTTTACAGGAACTTGGAGAGTTGGGGGTGTTCTTGCTGTTTCTCGTGCATTTGGTGATAGACTCTTGAAGCAATATGTTGTTGCTGATCCAGAAATCCAGGTGTGTTTCTAATATGGTGAATCCATTCTTGGATTTATCTCAATCTGTGTCTGTACAGGGTGTCTGATTTAGTATATGGTTTACATTCAGAAGCATCCATTCAGTAATTTGGAGAGAGAAATCACTGCTTCAAATGAGAAGATGAAAAAAAAATCAAGCTTAAAACATGCTTAACTACCTGTAAAATATATTAAAAAAAATCAGAAATAGCTTCCTACACATAGGTTTGTCATTACTATTGGATCCTGCTGCCCAAGAATTTGTTCTGAAATTTTTTGACTGATTTGCATGTTGTATATTACCATGAATGTGGTTTTGATTTTATGCATATTTGTTTATGGCTTCTTTACATATTTGGATATTCCCTAAACTTTATTATGGTGAAAAAGTACAATGAAGAGATAAATCTTTTATTGATATACTTAAGTACATTTAACCTTGAACAATAGCATGTTAATGCTTTTTGAGGAGAAATGCTGCTAACCATAAGAATAATCTGTAATATAACAAGTCCATATTAGAGAGATGTCTCCATACTGGTGTTTTTTCTTGTTCAAATGGTTTTAAGTAATGAAACATGTTTGTGCTCTTGCAGGAAGAAAAGATTGATAGCTCTCTTGAGTTTCTTATATTGGCCAGTGATGGACTATGGGATGTTGTCTCGAATGAGGTTTGCAATGATTTTCATTTCTTCCACTTTTGATAACTATAGTACATTTCCGGCACAAACCATGAAAATATAATGAGTTAAACCTATCAAGAACCCTGGAGTTTGTTTATTTACCTATTTTTAGGTGCTTTTACTGCCATGATTTGATAAGGTTAATAACTTCTTTCTGAAACATGTGGGTCAAAGATTTCCTTCATGAACACAAGAGAATCCACCAAAATGTTTCATGTTAGAAACCACCATTTAAACTAGAAACCAAGGACTGATCCTCTCTCTACCATTGGTATTGTGCCATAAAAAAATATCTATAAATTCTGCGCAACATGTGTAGGTTCATCTTCACCACTATAAAGATATGATGACCTACATGATGTAAGGTTCAAGAAAATTAGCTAGCTATCACTTTCCTAGAAAAATTAAAGACCAACTAACGAATCATATCTGATAAACATGTAATTGTAAAATGACAAAGCCAAGCTCTGAAGTCTTACTCATCTAACTCCCTCAATCTTTCACTTTTCTCCAGGAAGCTGTTGCTATGATCAAACAAATTGAGGACGCCGAGGAGGCAGCAAAGAGACTGATGCAAGAAGCATATCAGAGAGGTAGTTCTGACAACATTACATGTGTTGTGGTTCGTTTCTTGACAAACCAAGGTGCTTCTTCTCATAATAACTCTGGCTAAGTGTCCTTCGTTAGAAGGCTAGTGCATAATCTGGTGATGGATAAAAAAAGATGGGATGTGACAAAATCAGTTTGTTATAGTTGGTCATAGGCACTCCTCGTAGCTGTGTACCATGCAAGAATAGAAATGAAATTTAAACTCACTATGGTCCTCTCTAGCATAGAGTTGTTGACACTATATCTCACTTCCATAATTGTGTCTTATTTGTAGCCAGGAAAAGTAGTTGTGCAAAGAGTTTACGGTGTTTTAATTGCACACACATGACATGCTGCTTGTAAATGTGGTGTTGATCTTATTAATTCCTCCACCTCCCAAACAAAATACTTGTGTGCTTGGTTGATGTTAAATTTAATTCCCCCTTCATTGTCTATCTTGGTTTTTCCAATGTTTAGTCCCATCCCTTGTAACAGTTACACACCCTTGTTCTACTTGCATTATGGTTTTTATCAAGTGTATAATAATATAAATCTAATAAAGTAAGTGTTCTTTCTTTTTCCCTTTTGTGACCATGTTTAACTGTTTATAGGTGTTTGAATGATTTGTTGTAAATTTGATTTCAGATGATCTCGATTTTGCAAAATTAACTTTTGTTAAATATGAGTTTGAAAAAAAGTGATTTATGTTTGGAAACATTTATTTCAAAACTTTATGGTAAAATTTAGTTCAGATTTTTTTCCCATTAATGCAAAAGCTTTTTCTATGCAAGCAGGCTTTTGGAACTAAAATTGATTTTGCACAAAAATAACCAAACAAAGCTTTTTCTCCGTTTTGGAGTTCTAAACCGTAAAACCAATCTAGCTAATAATTTTTTCCAAGTGGGTTATTGAAGAGATTAATGAACTTGGAAAAGGGTCCACACCCACACCCACACCCATTTGGGCTCATTTTTCCTGTACAAACCTGCACTTTAGAAATCAGAATTAGAAGATGACTATTAGGGATAGAGGCTGAACATGAAATCCATATAGGGGTTTATTTCATAATTTTCATCATGAAATTTTTGTTATACGTCAAAAAGGAATGATTTGTCATTTGTGTAGAGAAATGGACTCAGAAAATCATATTGTCGTCAAGGCCGCTTTTGCTCTTACGTACGACGAGCGAACAAATAATTATCTTCATAGTCCAACACATCACACACATGTATATTGAATGCAGAGTGCCAAAAGATTCAGTCAAACATGTTTATACTTTTATAGTTATATAATTAAGAACAGTATTTTTTATGGAAGCATATTCTAATTGGAATAACTACAATTGTTAATGTACTCTTAAAAAATGTTAAAAATATAGTAAAATAGCATAAAATTTACTAATAAAGGAGTGCTACTGTGCTAGCGATACACTCTTTGCTTTTAACATACTTTCATTAGTTATGATTTATTGAAAAATACAAAATTGAGAGAGATTAAATAAAATGTGTGACTCACCAAAATTTGTGTTTTCCACTAAATAAAATGTATTGCTAGCATTTTTCTTTAATTACTAATATTCAGCTACATAATTTAAAGAAGCATATTTACATATATATATATATATATAGAGAGAGAGAGAGAGAGAGAGAGAGAGGGAGGGAGAGAGAGAGAGAGAGAGAGAGAGAGAGGAATGGAGAAAATGGCAAGCAAGCTGAAGCCTTATATAGTAGAAATTGTAAGCACAATTCATGCCTTGCCCTCCAAGTCATGGAATAAAAAATAAAGTGAAACATAAATAAATAAAATGTGGTTATGGATTAAAATACTTGGAAATTGCACTACCACCAACCACACCGGGGTCCCCAATAATCATTTTCTCACGATGTTTAATTTTATATATATTACGGCGGGCAAATATATATATATATAATTTTGCCTTCTAACTATTTCCTGGTTGAGCTGGTGTCGGGTCAACAAAAGCCGAAGTTATGTAATATAATAGAGACAACGTGTTGCGTGTGGAGCACATAAACAAAATCATTTTTATTGATCTATAAAACCAACGTTATATCATTATGAATTTGTTCAATTTGGCTCACCTAACTTTTTAATTCATAGTTGAATCTTTTCTTTTCCAAAATATATTTCACTTTACAATAATTAAATCCATATATCTAGAGGTAAAAACATGTTAAGTGAGACAAATTTTAGAGATGATCTATTTAATGAAAACAAAGTTTGAGTTTGTGTATTTAGTTAAAGGAAAAAATTATATACAACTCTTTAAGTGATTTTCAAGTTATTTTCCAATTAGAGTTTTACTGCAATTTTTTTACCATATAGATTATTGAGACAAAATTCTAATCTTAATAGATGAACTAGAGTACCTATAAAAATCGTGTCTAAGTTTTTTTCGCTATTGATAGGTCAACAAAATAATAAAATTTGAAGATAATACCAAAATGTAAAAATAATGTAATTTACATAATGTATAGGAAGTTTTTTTTTTTTTTTTTTTTTTTTCACTTAAGTTATCATGTGATATTAATCACAGAACATGAAGTAATATGAGTATAAATATGATGTAACAACTTATGAACTACTTAGATTAGAATAATATGCGGTAAAAAAAAAAAAAACTTTTAATGTAGGTGTTACAACATGAAGTAATTAATCACCCACAAAAAAGACTTTATCTATTTAATTAACAAGTACATTTTGAAAACACGTGGGAAGCGCAAAAGCCACACAATCACATATTTCTGTGTCTCCACGTTGAACCTCAAACAAGCACATGCTTTTTTCAAGCAAAAAGGTTTGGCAAAAATCTAGTTTAAAATCGTAGATTAGTATATCTCCCATGGAAACATTATTGTGTCATTCCCATTATCATTAAACAAGTTTCTATACGACTACATCTTGATGAGATCATTAATACTCATATTCAATTTATGAGTATAATTCACTTGTGTCATTTCTTTTGGTGTTTGCATGGAATTGACACTCGTATCCAATTTACCTCCATTATTTAATGTTGTTATTTCTTTTGGTATATGCATAGAATTGGTACCGACTCGCACACTGATACAGTGATACATGACACAACACGAACATGAATATCGAGATATTAATAAGAAAGTTACTACTGTAGTTTCAAAGGTTGAGTAGTTTTAGTACTCTCTGACATGTGTACCAATAAAATAAATACACGTTTATTTATCAAAGGCACATCAGTTTTTTTAAATAAATTTTATCTTTTATTTAAATTTTTACATTTCGTTTTTTCTTTACACAAATCAATACCTGCATTACTCATTAAAAAAAAAAAAAAATCAATACCCGCAAAGCAGTTATCCTCTAACCTTCATTTCCGGCAACTGTAACTTACAGAGATGTTCCTTTTGGTTTCGAATACAAGCATTGGAGGGCTTGTGATTCTATACTGGTATTCACAAAATGGAACATTATATCACTCCACCAACCATTGATAGAGGAAGATGAAAAAGAAAGAAAGAATATGAAAGTTTGGAGTTCGTTTAGGACATCTAATAAGCAAGACTCAATTTTGTTTAATGAGAAACCAAAGAAAAGCAAAACCCACAACAAAATAGTGGCTCTCTCTGTTCAAATCATCATGTAAGAAAGATGTTAAAGTAGTATCCGAATAAAAAAATAAAATATGATTAGTATGTAAGTATGTTAGTGTTTGCATTAGAGGTTGATATAATGGTGTTTGTATTTGAGGTTCATATGATAGTGTTTGCATTAGGGGTTGATATGACAGTGCTTGTATCCGGGTTTGGAATTGGTGTTTATATTCAAAGTTCATATGATGGTGTTTACATTAAGTTCATATGCAGGTTTGTTGGTATTGTGCCATGTCATTAACATTCAATGTTTATAACCTTTTACTAATGTTCTCCAAGTTCTTTTCAATCACCTTGAAAGAAAATTCAGATCAATGGTAGACATGTTGATATTATTAGGCAGAACCTCAGGTGGATTAAGGCATTGAAGCATGAACATGTTCATCTCATTCTCTTTGTTGTCTTTCTCAAGTTTCTTTAACTTCTTTTTACTCTTCAGGATATTTTTGTTGAAACTCTCTTGGCTCACCATATTCTTGCTTTTATCTTATTTAGGCATAGTCACGAACTTTCCCAATACTCTTATAACACATGCTCTTCAATGCCACAAAGGATGGTGTGTTCTTTCATCATCCTCAACACTGACTTCATCCTTGTCTTGTACTCTGCCTTCCTTTGAGAATCATTAGCTATAAATGCGAGTTTCACCTTTTTTCATGGCATGATGGAAACTAGCACTAGTACAGATTATACATATCATGTCGGTCATTTTAGGGGGTTTTACGTCGGAACAAGATGCGACGTAGAAGCGGGAGACGTAAATTTACGTCGGGGCGCGAAAACCGACGTAAATTTACGTCGGAGATTACAAGGTCCGACGTAAAAAGTTGCAAAAAATTTAAAAAAAAAAAAGAAAAACGACTGTAGGCAGAACGGACCGTTCTGCTTGGAAAACGACCCGTTCTCCGTGCAGAACGGGCCGTTCTGGAACCCAGACTTGAAACTTGACATCATCATTTCCAGCATCTAAAATCACAAACAGAAAAATGAGAAGATGTAATAAAAACCACACCTCTTGAAGATGTAGCATCTAGATCAACTATCAAGGCACAAAAAGTAATGAAAACAAAAAAAGTAAGTCTAAAAAATTAGAAGGCAGAGGGACGAAGGGAAGCAAGAAGAAGGAAATATGAAAGAACCCTTCACATATTGGAATCGTGGTAGCAAGAAGAAGCGTAGAAGGGAAGCGTAGACGGAAAGCGTAGAAGTAAAGAGAGGGACGAAGGGAGAAGTAGTAAGAAGGAGGCCGGAAACCCTAACCACTAACCCAACGAGCTCTGGAATCGTGAGTTATATGGAGAAATTTACGTCGGGCAAGGGTGATCCAATGTAAATTAGCCAATCTACGTCGGCTACAAAATAGTCCGACGTAAATTGTCTAATTTACGTCGGACCTACATATGTCCGACGTAAATTTCCCCTCTATATTTACGGAACTGCCACCGCGTTTTTACAACGTCGACTGTTCCAGTTTCCGATGTAAATGAGGAGACGTAGTAGCCCCATTTTGCACTAGTGTAGAAAAAGGGAAAGAAAAAAAATGAAAAGAGTTGTTTGTTGTGATTTCTATTCCCATTAACAACCTCTTTATATAGAACAATATTTGATACATATGTTTGTGGTTTGACTTTTATGGAAATTGTCAGACAATTTTTATACATTGAAATGTCACGTTAAATGTTATTGCATACATGAAGGAGATAGAAATTTAGACCCTTTAATCACATTTAAAGTGGTAAAATTGACCCATGTATAAATTAATAAATTACTTTATTGAATTGGTTAAAAAATGGTTATATAGATATAAC